AATTCTACGACGCAATACTTAAACTAATGATTGTGACCGAACGCGAAGTGGCGGTGACCTTTAGCCGACTTCAATGCCTGGCTGATGCCGTACCACCGAGAGATTATTGAGACATTTTATTTGTACCCTGGGCTTTTCTCTTTGAGACGCTGGCGAGCTCCCTCGAAGAGCAGCAACTTCTTCATGTCTGTTCTGGTACAAATTCCTTCTCAGTGGAAAAACTCTGCTTGGCCGCGAGACCTCGGTCACCTTCACTCGTTTCTCCGAATATTTTATGAATCTGAAACCGCAATCAAGCATTAGAAATTGTTAGAATTTAAGATTAATTTACGCAAGCCGACTAAAGGCCTGGCAAGCAATAAATTAATAAGTGTGATCGCTTCGTTCCACTGTACGAAAGGCGACAAAGAAATAATTACCTGTTTGATGATGTTTTTACTTAATTTGTGTGTCCACGCGGTTTGGCGACTCGGTCACAATGACTTTTCTCAGCTTTGTCGGTGCGTTTCTTTCTTCGCTCCGTCTTCCCCACTCACTCTCCGCGCCGGCGCTTCCCTCTTGGGGACTTACTCACTAACTTACAACTAGAGGCGCGAGTACTTCGGAGCACAGCGCTCTGGGGAATCAGTCGATAACTAACTCACGGATCGGAGACCTTCTCTGGGTAAAGAAGGCCCCGTGTACTCCGTTACAACACCAAACGTGAGATATTTACCTAATGATTTAACTATTACCATGATGCATAATTTTTGTAAAGAAGAATTTCCAGACTTTAGTGTTTCATATGAATCATATAGAAAGATTTTATCTGAAGAAAATATTCACTTAACAAAACTCGGGCACGAGGAATGTGAAATTTGTGAAGTTCACAAAATTCATCTAACAGATTATTCAAAAGAACTTGATAACACGTGTAGCGAATGTAAAAAGTTACTAGATGATAAAAAAAGTAAACAAGCAAGAAAATACTATCAAGAATGCGCCAAAATATCGTACGATAACAAAACACTTTGTATGTCAGCTGATTTACAGAAAATTATTATGTTACCCCGTCTTAAATGTTTCAAGTCAACCATATTCACAAACAGACTTACAACATATAATGAAACTTTCGTTCCTGTCGGTAAAAATCGAGTTGATGCTGTACCTTTCGCTGTAATATGGCATGAAGAAATATGAGAGCGAAGCAAAGAAGCGATAACTTCAACCTATCACCAATTATTTCTTCAGCACAAAGATTATGAAAAAATAATCTTGTGATTAGATAATTGCTGTGCTCAGAATTAAAATTGGGCTTTTTTCCTATCTACCATATATTATAAATTCTTCTTTGATAAAAGCTAAAGTAATTGAAGTTAATTACTTTGAACAAGGACACACATTTATGTCAGCATACTCATTTTATCATCAAATAGAACTTGCGATGAAGAAAAACGGTAAAGTTTACGATTTTCCTGAATTCGCCTTGACTGTTGAAGGAGCAAGAAATAAAATCAACATAAAAGTTATGAATATTTGTGACTTTTATTATTTTCTTGAACATACTTCTGTAAAAAACAGAAATTATAATCATGATAAGACTGAAAAAGTATATTTATCAAATATTGTTCAAATTAAAGTTAACAGAGGAACGACTGATTTAAAATACAAGACTGATTACAACGGAGATTTTAAAATATTAAATAATTATTTGAAAGTTAAAGCTGCTAAAAAAGGTATTCCTGATCCGATTCAATGTGAAAAAAACGCCTTTCGGCCACACCCGAAATGGAAGGTAGATTTCACTGAATGAAGTTCTTGATAGAATGACGTACATAAATCGGTTGTACTACTCATTGCCTGAAAATGGTTCAGTTGCAATCTTAAGTTTGATAAAATAAATAAAAATAATCAAAATGTCAATGTTATATACGTTGAATTGAAGGCAATTTTATGAGCTATCACATGAATTTTTCAAAAATTAGCTATCTCTATTCAATCAAAAGTTATACATCAATGAAGTGGCCAAAAACGTGATTTTAACTATTTTAAAAATTTTAAATGGCTGCCATTTCTAAACTAATTGATCGATTTTGCTCATCTTCGAACTCGTTCAAGGTAATTACCCAAAGAATATGTGTACCGAGTTTCATCTAAATCCGTTGAGAATTGTAGACGCTATCGTGTCCACAAGCCGCGTTATATTACATACATATATATATATAGCAATTATGGAAAAAAAAGTTGCAAATCGGTTCATATTTATGCAAATTACAGATGAGACCAGTTCGAAAAAAGTAAATTCGAGAAAAACACGTTTTTGTCGGAATGCCGCGCGTGCAACGGTCATTTGACACGATGTCACAAAAATGACTATAACTCGAGAAATATTCAGAAAAAAATTTTTAACTTCCCGCTAAGAAAATTGAAAATTTTCAAAAATCGGGAAGTTATTGTTTTCACCCCTTTTTTCGAAAATCGAGTTTTCATCAGATCTCGACGTTTTGAGGTCCTAGGAAGCTTTCCTGACTATTTCTGCGTTGACGTCACCGTGTCTGTATGTGTGTGTGTGTGTGTGTGTTTTTTTTTTTTTTTTTCGTAAAGAGGTACGAAAAAAGATCTTCAAAAGACACCGCTATCGTGTGTGTGTGTGTGTGTGTTTTTTGTTTTTTTTTTTTTTTGTAAAGAGGTACGAAAAAAGATCTTCAAAAGACACCGCTATCGTTAACTCTGCCGCCCTCTGTTTGATCATATAGGTCACCAGGCTTGAGGGGGAGAGCCTGGTGCCTATGATCTCTTCGGTGCTTCTTCTGTAGTCCTTCCATCGAGCACACTCGAAGGATGTGTGTTCGGCGTCGTCGATTTTATCCGGGCAGTATTTGCACGTTGGTGTGCTGTGCAAACCCATCTTGAAAAAATAGGCATTGAACTGCCCATGTCCCGTCAATAGCTGGGTTAGGAAGAAGTCCGTATCCCCGTGCTTCCGAGAGAGCCAGACGTTGATGTTTGGGATCAGGCGCGCCGTCCATCTGCCCGTCTCTCCCGATGTCCATCGGTCCTGCCACTCTTGCTGCCTTTCCGCCTCTATCCTCGTTCTTGCGTCCTTCATGTTTTCGTCACTGATTTAAGCGTCATAGAGTTTTGCTCTTTCGAACGCTAATAGGTCGATGGGCGCGGCTCCCGCACTGACCAATACAGCCGCTTCGGAAACTGTGCGGTAGGCGCAGGCAACCCTGAGAGCGCCTCGCCGCTGTACTGCTGCGATCTTTCGCCGGTAGGTCTTCTGCTTTAATATGTCTGCCCATATCTCCGCTCCATAAAGCGGTACCGAGTGGACTGCTTCTAGAAGAACTCTTCTCTTTCTTGTTCTTGGTCCCATGGTGTTGGTCATAATTTGTGCTAGGCTAGACACAGTCTTGCTGGCTTTTTTGCATGCACTGTCGAGGTGTTCACGGAAAAATAGTTTCTCGTCTATCATTACCCCTAGATACCGCAGGGCCCTTGTTGATGTCAGCGAATGGTTTTGGAAACCATTTTTGACGGGTCAAAACGACCATCTCGGTTTTCTGTTTGGCGAATTTCAGGTGATGCTTCTCGAGCCAAGTCTCGACGGTGTCGATGGTTTCCCGAACTAGCAGTTCGGCCTCTTCCACGCTGTCCGCCACTATAGTGGCTGCAACGTCGTCTGCAAAGCCTGTTAGCTCTACTTGCTCTGGCAACGGGATTTCAAGCATGCGTTGTAGGTGTTCAGGAGTAAGTCTGGGTATTCCAGGGCTATAATCTTGATCACCGATGCCGGGATGCCATCAGGTCCAGGTGCCTTTCCTGTTTTGAGTGACTTGGCCGCGTCTTGTAGTTTCTTTGTTGTGAAGGGCGTTACTTCGTTGTTTTTAGTGTAGTGTTTCTTCTCCCGCGGCGGGTGTTTGGGGAAAAGCTCCGCTACGATGCTATCCATTAAGGCTGGAGACTTCGGCGCCTCTGGTGAAGCCTTTCCAAGTCGTTTGGCGACAATTTGGTAGGCTTTACCCCAGATGTCATTGTCGAGATCGTTGCAGATCTCTTTCCACAACTTTGCTTTACTTGCTTTGATGGCTCGATTTAGCGACTTTTTGGCCTGCTTGTACTCTTTTGAATACAAATACTGGCTTGGGGAGCGTTTCGCGGCTCTCGTTGCGCGGCGACGTAGCTGATGGCATATTTTTCTAAGTTATGCTATGTCTGTTGACCACCAGTACGTCGGCCTGTGGAAACTCTGATTTTTCAGCCGCGGCATAAAGGCCTCACATGCGGCAGTAATCTCCTTCATCGTATTTAGCACTATCTTTTCCGTCTCGCTGCAGGCATCCGAAGTCGGGTTGTTCTGAAGGATAGACCAGCTCCGTGGAAGTGAAGCTCGCAATGCCTCTAGACCAAGCCTTCTGGCATTCCACTTCCGCTTAGAAAGGTCGCGTTGTGAAACCGGAGCAGATGCCAATGCAACGTTGAATGTCACGAACTGGTGATCACTGCCACTGTATTCTTCGGATACAGTCCAGTTTTCGATCATGTTGGCAGTCCTTGGAGTCGCCAACGAAATGTCGAGGATGGAATCTTGTTACCCCGGTCTTCGAAAGGTCTTGGTGTTTCCAGTATTCAGCACTATAAGGTCGAGTCTAGCCACGACGTCAGCGACCTCGTTACCTCTGGTGTCAGAGAAAGCAGTGCCCCACTCAGCCGATTTAGCGTTGAAGTCTCCGGCTACGATGACTTCGCCGTCGAACTTAGTGACCACATCTTCTATATTTGCCAGTTTCTCTCGAAATACACTAATCCCTTCGATAGGTGAGAGATAGACGCTCATGAAGTAGGTTGTGGGGGTTTGAATCCCGACAAAACCTGCTCCACTTCCGCTGTTGTTGACGGTAACGTTATTTGTGTTCACAATCCAAACTACTGCCGTGCCAGTTTCGTCTACGAACCATGTTTCACCTTCGATTTTTAGATATTGCTCGCAGATAAAGCAGACGTCAATTATATCATTAATCAAGTTATCTTCGGTCTGGTCCCTTGCAGGAGTTCGTCGCGTGCCCGTATCCAAGGCATCTGATCATTATATGGGCGTTGTCAAGGATTTTAAACGCGCTAGCTTCGTCTATCTCGCAGAAGGCTGCCCGGTTGCCTCATCGAGTAGGTTTTGTCAGATTCACACGTTTTATCTCCAGGCTGTCAGTAAAGTCACGTTTGAGTGCTTCGCGAACATCGCTCTGGGTAGAGATTTTATCCAAGTCAAGGGTCTCGATCGCTGTTTTTGGTGTGAGCGTTCTGACTGTACCGATGTTAGCGGTTACTGTTTTTATCGCAGCCGTAAAAGCAGCATTGTCTTAAGTCTAGCGATCCATTTCAAGGAGAACGCCCCCGCGCTTCGTTTGTTTGATAGACTTTATGTCTACTCCAGTCTCTGTCGAGTTAACTTTGGCCTTGATTTCCTTGAGGAGATCGGCGTACGTTCGCCTTTCAGATAGTTGGACAAGCACAGCCTTTTTTTTTGTCTTTTTTCTCCTCGGTTTCTTTGAAACACCCTTCGTTGGCTGGTTTTGAGTTTCAGTAGATTGTGCCACTGGCTCCTGTTCTCTTTCCTTCTTTTTCTTTTGCCAAGTCACTTTTGTCCAGGTATCATCATCCCGGGCTGTCTTTTTGTGTGCTGGCTTGTCAATTTCTAAGGAAGGGCTGGGCGTGGACAGCGGCCTCTTCATGTTGATGCCTTTTCCTTGCTGTTGTAGTTTCTTAGGAGTGACTAGAGGAGGCTGCGGTTTTTTGCTCATACTCGGAGTTGTTTGTGTCGTTGACGCCGAAGTCGTTGGTGATTTGTTGGCCAGCCTATATGCCGCACCAATAGACGTTACCAATTTTCTGATCTCATGATGGATATTCTTCTTGTGTTTTATGAAGTCGGCTAACTCTTCAATTTTGCTACCGAGCCTCTCCATTGGCGACTGTTGGCCGGTGGCGGTCGGTGCAGAGTTAATCCTTCCTCGGTAGGTTTGAATAGTGACGGAAGCAAAAGGTCCTCCACTTTTTGGAGAAACTTTCATTAGCTGTCCATCCCTGCAACTTCCCGCCAATTCTACACCTAAACGCTTGAAATTGCACTTATGACGTTTTAGAGCTCTTCGAGCTCATAAATACAATTTGTGTATTGTTTTGAGCTCTCCGAGCTCAAAATAATAGCTTTTTTATACTTTTGAGCTCTTCGAGCTCAAAAGTTTGATAGAAGTTTGACAAAACACTATTTTTTTAATTTTCAGATCGCAATAACTTTTGAATGGATCAACTGATTTTCACGCGGTTGGCGGTATTCGACGCAGTTTTATCATCCTCATGAGTTATTTTCAGGTTTTAATTGATCGAACCGAAAATTTCAGAGTAATTCCGAAAAAAAACTTTTTTCGGTTTTCTTTCGTTCACGATAACTCACGAACGAATCAATTAATTTTGACCGGACTGGCAGCGATCGACGTGGTTTTTTGATGTTAAGAGCTAATTAGTTTTTGGAATTGATCGGTAAAGCCGTTTGAAAGTTATTCCAAAAAAACCACTTTTCAAAAAATTTTTTTTTTTGTAGTTTTTTTGCAATTTCTCAAAATCTACTGGTCCGAATCTGTTCAAATTTTTAGGAAATCTAAGTTTGGTCAAGCTCTTTCGAATGGCGCTAACTGCGATCAAATCGGTCAAGCCGTTTAAAAGTTATAAGCGGTTCACATACTTTCACACACACACACACACACACACACACACACACACACACACACACACATC